GGTGGTCGAGGCTTAAACCCCCCCCCTGCCAATGCAGGGGACACAGGTTCAAGCCCCGGTCCAGGAAGATCCCACATGCCACGGGGTAACTAAGCCCGCGAGCCACAACTACTGAAGCCTGCGTGCCTAGAGCCCGTGCTCCGCAACAGGAGAAGCCACCGCAATGAGAAGCCTGCGCACCGCAACGAAGAGTAGGCCCCACTCGCTGCAACTAGAGAAAGACCGTGCACCTCAATGAAGACCTAATGCAGCTAAAAATTAATTAATTAATTTAAAAAATATATGAACTTATAATCTCAAGGCAGGGATAGGTTTTCCAGACAGAGGGAACACCATGTGCAAGGGTGTAGTGCAGTGAAATGGATGGAAGGGGCAGGGGGCACAAGTATACAAGCACTTTGGTCCTGTTAGGAGCCCCATGAACATCTAGGAGAGTGATGGCAGAGGAGGTTTTATTTTTATTATTATTATAATTAATTAATTGATTATTTATTTATTTGGATGCTTTGGGTCTTAGTTGCGACATGCGGGATCTTTGTTGCAGCGTGAGGGCTCTTCGCTGCGGTGCTCTTCGCTGCGGTGCACAGGCATCTCTATAGCTGTGGCGCGCGGGCTGCAGAGCGTGTGGGCTCAGTAGTTTTGGTGCTTGGGATTAGTTGCCCCGCAGTATGTGGGATCTTAATTCCCCAACCAGGGATCGAACCCTCGTCCCCCACATTGGAAAGCGGATTCTTAACCACTGGACCACCAGGGAAGTCCCAGCAGAGGAGGTTTTAAATAAGTAGGGACCTGAGATACTGTGCACATAATCTGGACTCCTGGAGGTGGAGAGCACTGGAGTGTTTAGGGAAGTGAAATGGTCACACTTAACTTTTATATTTTTTTATTTTTCATTTTTTAATTTTTGGTCGCGCTGAGAGGCCTGTGGGACGGCATGTGGGATCTTAGCTCCCCGACCAGAGATCGAACCCGTGCCCCCTGCATTGGAAACGCAGAGTCTTAACCACTGGACCGCCAGGGAAGTCTCCACACTTAATTTTTAGATGGTGCATTTGGACAGTTAGAAGGAGCATGACTTGAGTCAGCTGAGTCAGAGATACCAGTTAGGAATAGATTGCAAGAGACCGGGCAAGAGATGCTGAGGGCGTGAACTGAGCCAAGGCAGTGTAGATAAGAGAAAGGGAGGAGGCCAACCAAGTTTTCTGATCTAGATGCCCTGATGTCATTAACAAGGCTAGGAAATGCAGGGACAGGCGGATAATGAGCACAGTCAAGCCAGGTCAAGCC